TATTCTACTGATTTGCATTTGTGACTCTTTCATCTAAGAGGACAAGTGGACCCAAAATACAACATGCAACAGACTCTCCAGTTTTTCCTTTAATTTCGTACCCATCTGTACATCTATTCAGTCACAATATTTATTTCCCAGTACACTAAAAGTACAACAGTTTGCAGTGAACATCTTATTTATACACTTTAATTTAGCAGGGGGAAAAAAATAATATATTAATGCAGGCTGACATTTTATATAAGAAAATTATAAAGTATAATTTAACCATACAAACAGCACGATTACTTTTAATACATGTATTGTTTTATTAACACTGTAGGTTATTCATATCTTTCATCTTCATAGCTGATATATCAATATGTTATGTATATTTTATCCTTAATTAAAACACTCTTCATTTATTTTATTCATACTTGCTACTATGTCTGAAATGTAATTAAATCCAGCACTCATTCTAATTATTCTGGCTAAGCAGTGCTTTGCATCATTATCATTTCTTAGACTGTAGTCTCTCCCCATTAGCATATTTTTATTAACCCCCTATGAGTGAATAATTTATATGTCTCAGAAAGTGGGTGTTGCCCTGCAGATTGGGGATCACACTGGGTTTTTTCTTATTCTTCAAGATGAGCCTTGGAGGTGGCAGGAATAATTATCGGCACCTGGACCAGCATTTCCCATCCACTCATTTGAAGGCGGCGGTAACATGAAGTGCCAAGCTGAAACCTGAGCTGACAGGAGACTCCCTGACATACTGAGAACAACCCAATCCTTCTTTTTTTTAGTCTCTGAGGAGGCATAGGGTGGGGTGATGCACAGTGTGGTGTTCACGTCTCATTAGGATGGTGGGGAAGGTGGGCATGCTGGTACCTCCCGTGTCGCCTCATCAGCCTCATGGCAAGCTGGAGGGTCTGAAAGAGGCAACAGAGGCCTGTGGGGAAGAGTGGCATAGTCATTAACCATAACACAGCCTCATGTTACACTGAATAAGAGATGATATTGGATAGTGCAGCCCATTCTGGGAAGAGATATCGAGCAGTAAAGGTGGTGTAGAAGGTTATGTAGAGACCTGGTTGCTACTGTTAGAGAATTTTGTATAAGATTTAAGGAGAGATTTTAAATGCAGTTAAACATTCAGCCTCATTACTCTGGTTCCTAAAGTCCAGTGCTTGTCATTAGTACAGGTCTGAGGCAGAGGCATGTCACAGATGCTTGGAGTTACAAACATGAATTTAAAGAGTAGTAGATTTTAAGTACTGCGTGTGTGTGTGTGTGTGTGTGTGCATGTGTGAGAGAGATATTTGTGGACGAGTGCTACCAGTTGTCTCCACCTTAGTTTTTGAGCTGCAGATAAAAAAAAGAGGCAATAAAGAAACAAGAAAACTAAGCAGGAAAACACTAAACATGTTCAGCACATAACCAAGTTTCACAAATTTGCATTTATTTCGAATGAAGGATGCCCTGAGCGACGGTTGGTGCAGCCATCTGGATTTAATACCGATTAATTTTTTTTTACAGTATTATTGCAATATTATTGCTATAGCCCCATCTTTTTTATTTATGCAAAAATTCAGTTACACTGAGAAGAAAATAACCATACCAAATATTAGTGCCATCTTTAATCGATCAAGATTTATGTGTGAGTACAGCGGAAATCAGAAGGCGCACTGCAATAATGAGCATGTAGCTTCCTGGGGAATACATTCAATCTAGCAGCTCCTGAGAAAGCCCTGCCCTTCTCCATCTCCAACCCACACCTTTATTAACATGCATGCATGCATCACAGGACGAGGCCCCGCTCCAGGCAGGAGAAACACAATTTACTATATGTGGCTTCCATTTATTGGGGTGGAAAGATGTAACTGGGGAAAGCCTCTATTGGTCTGACTGCTGGTTATTAAAATAATCACAGTGTATGAATGTGTCATGGTGTAAATATATCAGACTTTCTGGATATGTTTGAAAAACTGGCCAGGGGAAAAAGAGGCAGAATCACAGCAGTGTGCATGGATGGATATCTTGAAAAATGTAAACAAAAAAGTTCTACACTGATACATAAGTGTTTATTAAAATAGCTAGCAAGTTAAGCTAAAGGTCATGCATACAGTTTTTTGTTCAAGCTTCATAAATGGCTAGTTTAGCAGAGGAATCATAGCAAATAGTGTAAATATCAGAAATGGCAGTGGCTATACAGCAAGCTGGCATCATGACTCATTATACCGTATGTTATAACTTGCAGCTGGTAACCTTGGAGGAACCAGCTATCACCAGAGAGCCCAAAGTGTGTGTATTGTCTCAGAAGAGACACTCAAATTAGGATCAAGGGCAAATGAAGATTTACTATAGAAGGATATATTACAGATTTACTACATTTTACATTTACGGCAGATGCCCTTATCCAGAGCGACTTACATTTATCTCATTTATACATCTGAGCAGTTTTAGGGGCCTTGCTCAGGGGCCCAGCAGTGGCAGCTTGGTGGTGCTGGGGCTTGTACTCATGACCTTCTGATCAGTAGTCCAACATCTTAACCACTAAGCCATAGAACCACTGTAGCTGTAGTTGACTATAAAAGCTTGTTACATTTGTGCATTGTCAGCTTTTTGTTTCTTATGGTAGCCTGTGCAACATACGCAGCTGCTGTTACATCATCCAGTTAATTATTATAGATGAGTATAACACTGATATACATATAAATAATATCCAACATGCAGAGGAAATTTGTGGGAAGTGGTTCACATCCACAGCAGCTGAATCATCTCCTGCATTCACACTCACACAGTAATGCAGTAAGCTTGGAGAGCGGCTGGGGTGATGTAAGCAAAGGCAGCAGGCTGGCGCTCTGTCTCCTTGTGCAGGGCTAATAGGGCTAATGATGTAAGTGTGCATTATGATCCATACAGATGATAGGGGAATGAGTCATCAATAGAACAGACTCCAGCCTGGGGTTTATGGCCTCAGATCCCATCAGGGCCTGTTTGACTGAATAAATCTCAGCAGATTTTAAGACATGCTTTTAGCCTCATCTGCAGCTGGGCTGGGCCCGGTGATGTCATCCGCAACCTGAGGCCAGGGCTCATCCACACACACATTATGTATGCCCTTAGTTTGGGAAGTGTACAGGCTATATGTGGGGGCTGTGAATATTTACACTTGACTATATCTTTCCTTTCTCATCCAGCTTATTGTCTATGAAAATTATAATCATGCCTTGTAAACCCACAGAGCTACTCCCCAACCTTGCACACTGCTGATTACATTATTCTTTTTGATTATAGTAAGCTTGTAGCTTTGATGATAGGATTGGGGAGAAGGGGCATTTTCTTTTTTGTTGAGATTACAGTAATAAACAAGTTGCTTAACCTAAAATACACTCACTGGCCACTTTAATAGGAACACCTGTACACCTACACGTTCATCATATTATCAGCCAATCATGTAGCAGCAGTGCAATCCATAAAATTATGCAGATACAGCTCAAGAGCTTCAGTTAATTTATGTATTAAACATCAGAATCGGGGAAAATGTGATCTCAGCGACTTTGAAAGTGGCATGCTTGCTGGTGCCAGAGGAGTTGGTTTCAGGAACTGCTGGGATTTTAATGCACAACAGTTCGAGAGTTTGTGCAGTTTATGCAGAATGGTGAGAAAAGCAAAAAACACCCAGTGAGCAGCAGTTCTGTGGGAAGAAACAGCTTGTTGACGAGAGAGATCAGAGGAGTATGACCAGACTGGTTCAAGCTGACAGGAAGTCTGTGGTAACTCAAATAACCACTCTTTACAAACGTGGTGAGTAGAAAAGCATCTCAGAACACATCGTATCAAACCTTGAGGCAGATGGGCTACAACAGCGGAAGACCACATCGAGTTCCACTCCTGTCAACCAAGAACAATTTTTATACCAAGTGAAGTTATTTGAACTTGTGTTTCTCATGGAGGAACTGAATTCCCCAAGCAAAAGGTAGAAGTGTGAGTGGAACTGTTTTTTATTCCCATTACCACAAAACATTTGACCAGTTATTTTGTTTGTATCTGCCCATGCTATTTTCTAATGAACTTTCTGAAAATATACCAGCCCAGCAACCCAGGCAAGGATAAAGCATTTACTGAAGATGAATGAATGAATGTGTTAAATGCTATAGGAGCAACGCACCACGTCCAATACACTCCCATAATAATCAAAATGGCCTTAGTTTATCCCACAAGCTTCAAATCGTTATTGTCCGATGAATATCTCTAAACAAATCCAATCATTCAGGAGCACAGGGAGTGTCATACAAAATAGATCTGAAATATCACGTTTTAGATACATTTTATCTGAGTAATGAAGAAAATATAGGATTATCAGTGTACAGATTCATATTTCAAATGGACTTGCATAGACTGTATACAGCAAACATGGACATACTGCAAAATATGAGGAAACATAATTTTCATCAGATAGTGATTCCCACAACTTTTTTGTTGGTCACAACTTTTTAACCCCAGGGATCCCAGTCCCAATGCACATCTCTAGCAGAAGGCATTTCAATCACATAGCCTGATTAAGTTAAAGAATCAGGTCATCTTGTACTTGTATTATTTTTGGATATAGGTGCTATGTGTGATACTGAGGCTAAGATCTGTGCACCAAGCCAGTAAACTCCCGTTAAAACCTCAAATCTCAAGAACATGATTTGCTGAAATGTAACACTGCATTTTGAAGTGTAAAGACATTTAAGGCCCTCTATCTCAAGCTCGTGGAGGAATTAATACTAGAGTTTGATACTAAAGGTTCATTGTCTTAGGCATGCATCGTCTTTTCCTCTTTCCTCCTTGTTCCTTATCATCAGCATGCAACATTATAAAGGTGGCCTTCACTTCTTCAGCTCTACAATAAAGCATTGCCTCACTGACTAATATATCTGTATAAAGTAAATAAATATTGGTTTTATTATGGTTATAATTGTTATTTATGAGCTTGGCAGGAGTCCATGTATATGAAGATGGAGATGAAGGCATGGTGGTCACGCTGGTGTGATCATGCCATTATGAAAGGCTCAGTGACAGCAATTTATCAAGAGGATAGTGGCATTAGTGCAGAAATTGTCACCGTTGATGGTTTTCAGACTTCATTAGAAAAGAAATTGACTCACCAATTTTAAGACTTACATCCATTTTTTTTTTTCTTTTTAATTTATGCAGTGTTTCCTAATTACCCATATGCACAGGAAAATTGTACTGAAATGCTGTGCAATTTGTCCCAGTGTTACTTTTCAGCTATGCAGAATTAAAATAACAGCTTGAGATGAAATTCAGAAACCCACAAACTACATTTCCATTCAAATTAAGACGTGCTTAATAATTAGTCAGTGAGCACCTCTAGAGCCATGATAAATGGTGAAATATGAGCATCCTCTCTCCACTGGTGAGAGGGATGGAGAGTGAGAAGTGCTTTCTTTCTGATCAGAGCAAATTCAGCTGCTGATGAGGCATAAGTTCCTGTGTTCAGGAATAATTTATTCTAATGGGAAGTCAGGGACCTGCTGCTATGCTGCAGCGCACTGGGTCAGCGCTTCTGCAAATGAGAGCTGAAGTCAGACACATTCATTCTGTTTGAGCTCTGAGTCATACACAGCAGCAGCTCAATCATAAGGACATAGTGCTTCAATCTCTTCTGTGCCCTTGATAGTGTCCTTAAGTGCTGATCACGAACCGGTGCCCTCAATCCAAATCATGCCTGTAATGTTGCTCAGTGTGAAATTGCAGATCAAGAGTGGACATAAGCTGTGTCCCACACTCTCTTAGGAGCTATGCTAGTAAGCCATGTGTCTGACTGGATAAGAATTCATTTGTATGAAATCCCACGTACCTCGTTAGAATTCTACAAATCTGTAAATCTGTATAGGGACACAAGACAGAGTTAGACAGACTAAACCCCAGTTACCCACCACAGGTTTGGCTATGCGCCAAGCGGTAATGTCCATATAAAGATTCCCTGATAATCAGGCTTGTCTATGACCTACACAACAGCTTGTGGTTGACGAAATCAATGCTTATTGACAAAATTGTTCAGGCACCTGAACAGCTTCCTTAGCAGTGTCATAACTGATAAAACCACAACACCCTCTCAATAAAACAGCAGAAAAAGCACAGAGCCCTGTGCACTCCTGTTCCTCCTACCCATCAGAAATCCACTGAACTCCCACCCACCTTAAATGAGCTTTCTAACACTCCACCTACAGAAAAAAATGATGTACAGTTTATATTTAGAGACAGAGAGAGGGAGAGAGAGAGAGCAACAAGCTTATTAGGAAGGCTTTATCTGTACTGGGGGTGGAACTTGTTCTCTGGTGTAAGTGTCTGAGAGGATAGAAAAACTCTGTACAAACTATTGAACATTATGTACAAAATCTCTCATCCCTTCTATGATGTACTGGATAGTTATGGAATCAGATTTAGCAAGAGGTTAATACCACCAAAGTGCACCACTGAACACCACAGGACATTACATCTCAGTTCAATTCAACTCAATTTTAACAATCGACATGGTCATAAAGCAACCTTCCAGAAATGTAGATACCTAATGAGCACATAGGAGGTGATTAAGGCAAGAAAAAAAACTCCCTGAGATGACATGAAGAAACATTCAGAGGAATCAGATTCAAAGGGAACCCATCATCTTCTAAGGTGACACCATATAGTGAGATTAGAAACCATTACTCTTTATCTTCTACATTACTGTAAATCTTTAAGTGTTTACTATAAAGTCATAATACTAAGTGTGTTGAAAGGATGTTCAGTATGAGCATCATAGTTTTAAGGATTACAACAGTTCTTAGGCACATGTCTACAGTATCCAGGTGAGATTATCTACTGAAGCAAGGGTGAGACTTGGCCATAAAGTCATAAGGATGAGTTTTTGGTGCAAAGTGCAAATCGTCAAGGTCCCCAAAAAGTGAGTCACAAGTGCAGAAGCTCCAAGCAGAACTAGAGCATCAGATCTGGAGGGAGAGAGGAGCCACAGCAGTAGAACTGTGTCAGGATCAAGCATCACATTAGACAGCAGGAAACCACATACTCTGAGAGAGAGAGAGAGAGAGAGAGAGAGAGAGAGAGAGAGAGAGAGAGCAGATTATGGTATGCTCTTATTCTACAGTGGTTAAAATGGTTGTACACTGTGATCAGAAAATAACTTCTCCCGGTGGATTAAGATTGTTCAGGGAGGATCGGTAGTTCAAATGTAAGTCATTAAATCAATCCACCCATCCATCCATCCATCCATCAGACCAACTGCCAATTATAGATATTGCATCTTGTGTATGATTTAAACTAAAAAGAAAAAACATTTTTGCACACATATCCTCAGACCTAGACTACAAAAATATTGTCTGCTATACACACAATATGAGATTTCACACACTATGTTACTAATAGTCAAACCACTATGCAATAATCAGCCTAATGCAATAATCACTGCCATACAATGATCAAATACTGTATCTCCTGATGGTGGAAATGATTTTTTTTTCCAGCACATCGATGCCATCGATCTGCTGGTGTCACCATCA